AGTAATACAATTCTAAAACAGTTCAACCAAACTGGAATCTTGGCACCATCAACTCAAATAATAAACATTTGGCACTTGAGGCAAGATCACTAATTGACATATATATTTCTACCCCCAAACAACACTTAGTAATTACTGTCAACAACTTTTTAAAAAATAAATCAAGGGCTCATTTGACATAAATGTTGACAGTTAAAATTATTTTCTTTTGTCTTTTTCTTCCTCTTATCTCTCTTTTTTCCTGCTCTTAAAATAATTCTGACCGCTTCACCTCAGTTTATTAGTATTTTATGTTTATATTAGAAGTGCTGGATCATATTTATACGATTATGTAAATAATCATAATGGGTTTAATCACTTACTTTTAAATGTTTTTCCTGGGCCGACACACACAGGCATTCCATGCAAATAGTGTGAGGAGTTGGATAGAGATGGGAAAGCCAACATGAATAGCAGAACTAGCCTTAAGCTTGGAATCAGGTAGCCAAGTCTTGGTTCCAGCCCCATTCTTGTTCTTCAAATACACATATTCTCATGTGTTTATTCAAGATTCATTTATTCATGTTTTTATGTGCTAGGCCTGTGCTGGTCTATGCAGGATCCACTAGCTTCATGTACCTGACCTACAACTAATCTGAACTGCGATACACTGAAAAGGTAAAATAAATAGGATTTTGAAAATAGTACAGAGGAAAAAGAAATTTAAGGATAACTTTTATATTGCATGTTAAAATATCTTAGGCTAAATAAGTTAATTTCACTTTTTAAAATATTTCTAAAAAAAACATTTTTTAAAAATTAAAGGGTGAGAATGGAAAGGAAACACTAATTCAAAGCAAGAGAATGCAGAAGTCCAGGAAGATTAACCGGGTTAAAAAGCAAAGGAAATTAGAGTTTAAGGAAGGCCATTTAAAGAATTAACTGTTACCCTATGTGACATTGAAACCATGCACTTTTAATCATATCATTTTAATCTGTTGTATGATTTTCCCTTAGCTAGAATAAGCAGATTTCAGAATCAATAATTTAAAAGTGGCTTGAGTTAGAGTAAAGCTGAGTTTCAAAATTCTATGAGAATTCTAGTATTTTTACTATTATTACAGAATTTTCATTTTATAAGAAACATAAACAATATGAATTTATCATTTTAAGCATTTCACCAGTTTTTAAATCAAGCATCCTGTCCAGGAACCTCCCTCCAGTTGATTATAGGTATACTAGGATCCTAAAATCCCAGCCCTCAAAGAGGCAGGACAAGACCTGAGGTAGCTGGAGTCTCAAATTCCACTGCTTCTTCAGATGGAAGTGCCACCTTTTTCTTATCATATTATGAGACTACAAGTATTGGTTTTCTAAGCGTGACTAATTAAAAAAGTTTATGAAGTATTGTCCTAAGGCATAACATAGGAGAGACCAATTCATGAATTCAAAGAATGAGTTTTTTCATAAATCTTTGGGTCACAAAGGCAATATACATTTATTGTAAAAAATTAAGGAATACAAAAGGGAAAGTATCTAATTCTGCTCTCCAAACCTAACCACAATTTAATAATTTGTAATTCCTTTTGCATTGTCAGCTTTATTTTTTAAGAAATTACAGGCATTATAGTATAGAGAAGTGGTCTCAAAACGTGCACAATTTAAGGCCAAGTAGAGGATATTATGTTTCTACTTGTTCATCCTTAAAACTATTTTAAAGTAATTGCAATCATAATCTATTAGCTAGAGGTAGTAATAGGATTGAACACATAATCTCTACCTGAACATTGTACTAGGCAGTTTACATACATATTACTCCATCCATTCCTCACAGCATTGTGAGGTCAGTTATTATCATAACCGTTTTATAGGTAGGAAAAAGGAGGTTTAAGAAACCAGTCCAAAATTACTCAGCAAGGATAAGAGTAGTACTCAAACTCAGGACAGCTCGTTTCAGAGCATGTTACTTGTTAAGATTTATAGCATTACATGTTACTTGTTAAGATTTACTTGTTAAGGTATTTACAGCAATACCTATATTTATGGTCAACTTTTTTTTTTTTTGCTTTGCTTGGTTTGGTTTGACTTTCTTTGGCACACCCAGCAATGCTCAGGGGTTACTCCTAGCTCTCTGGCAGTGCTTGGCGACTGTACATGGTGCCAGGGCTGAAACCTGGGTCAGCTGTGTTCAAGATAAGTGCCTTACCCACTGTTCTATCTCTATGGCCGATCAACTATTTTTTCTGAACAACAGTGAAGACTAAGGTTTAGGAGAATTGTTGGCTGTATGGGTATGAAAAGTGTGCTAGCACTATGTCAGACTAGGTATAGGCCAGGTCAGACAATGGTACTTTGGAACATGTTGGTACAGATGAAAAGAAAGGGGTAAATTTGGGAAATATTTGTGAAATAAGGCTGACATCTTGAGACACAGGTGGCTGAATCTGGGGTTTAGAAGGAAGGGATGGAGCTTTATTCCTTAGATTCTGGCTTCCATGAATTGAAGTCCAGCTGCTGGCAGAGACCTAAGAAAGTAGGTATTTATTCTGTTGATAGCTTCTCTTTGGCCATAAAGTACACTGTTCTTTAAATGTACTGTTCAATGTCAAGCTGATTAAGGATCTTCCGATTTTAACAAAACCCTCCTTTTGCATTGTATACATTTATATAAGTAATTAATGCCTCTCATGTTGCATCTAACATAGCACAAGTTTCACTTATGTTCTCTAAAAGTGATAAGAATGCCATCTATTTTTTATTTTATTGAATCACTGAGATACAGTTACAAGCTCTCAGGTTCGAGTTAGTTACAATCACGTAATGATCACATATGATAGTGCACATCCCGCACTATCCCCAGTATATCCCCCTTGCCCACCCTCCCACTGCCTCCATGGCAGACAATAAAGAATGCAATCTTATGGAACATACTGTTCTGTTGAATAAAAAAAGAAGCAAACTAAGATACCCGTCCCTTAAGTCAGAGATGTTGGAGCTTAAGAGATAGTACCACGTGAGTAGGGCGTTTGCCCTGTATGCAGCAACCCAGGTTCAATTTGTGGAATCCCATTCGGCCTCCAGAACCAAGCAGGAGTGATTCCTGTGTGCAGGGTCAGGAGTAACCCAGGAGCACTGCCAGGTGTGCACCCACCCCCCAAAATAAAGACAGGGATGAGTGGAAAAAATACTTTTTTTTTTTTTTTTTGCTTTTTGGATCACACCCAGCAATGCACAGGGGTTACTCCTGGCTCTGAGCTCAGGAATCACCCCTGGCCGTGCTCAGGGGACCATATGGGATGCTGGGAATTGAACCCGGGTTGGCCGCATTCAAGGCAAACGCCCTACCCGCCCTACCCGCTGTGCTATTGCTCCAGCCCCTGGAAAATATACTTTTTAAGTCACCTTCGTGGGATTGGAAAATACGAAATGATTTAGAAGTCTATCTTTTTACCTTTTTGGTTTGGGGGCCACATCTGACTATGCTCAGAGCTTATTCCTGGCTCAGCGCTGGCAAGGCGGGGAGACCCTATGGAGTGCCAGTGTTCAGGGTCTGTCGCGTACAAAGCCAGCGCCTTGCCCAATGTGCCATCTTTCTGCCCCCCTGGAAGGTTTTTTAGATTGATTCTAAATTCTATGCATATCGGGCATGTTCTAAAGGCTTATTAATGCTTTTAGAAATCAGGATTTAAAAGAATACCATCAGGGTTTTAGTATTATAAGCACCCTCGGTAAGCTGATTCAAATAATAAGCACTGTAGCACTTGTCCTCCCGTTGTTCATCGATTTGCTCCAGCGGGCACCAATAACATCTCACAACAAATTGTGAGACTTGTTACTGTTTTTGGCATATCAAATGCGCCACGGGGAGCTTGCCAGGCTCTGCCGTGAGGGCGGGACATTCTCGGTAGCTTGCCGGGCTCTCCGAGAGGGGCGGAGGAATCGAACCCGGGTGGGCCGTGTTGGCCGCGTGCAATGCAAACGCCCTACCCGCTGTGCTATCGCCCCACCGGGTAATAATAATAAAATGCTCACAAATACTTCCGATTCCATTTCAGATGGACCCGAAATTTCCCATTTAAACCTCCGCAAAAACACCCCTGGCTTGGCGGCCCTAGCCGGACCGCTCCCCCGTCCGGGAAGGTCCCTCACGGGGCCGGAGCGAGCAGCGACAGGGCAGCGGCTCAAGTCAGCCGAGATGTCCACTCCCCATCCGTCCACTCCCCTAACCCCCCTCCCCGCCCCGCGGTGCAGCCACGCCCCCCTGCCGGCCCTGAAACGCGCCTAAATCAGTCCGACTCCGGGAAGACGGCCCCGACGACACCTCCTCTCCTTCCGGCGCCTGAGGAAGGGGCCAGCGCCGCCGAGCTCCCGCGTGACGTCGCGCGGCCGCGGGCGGGGCGGGTGCGGCCGGCCGCCGCGGGGGCCCGTCCCCGCCCTGGGAGCGCGCGGGCTGCCCCGAGGGGGCGGTTCCCGCGAGCCGGCGCTCTAGGAAACGGTGAGTCGGGGGCGCCCGGCGGCTGGCCACCGCCTCAGCGCTGGGTCCTAGCGGCCACTTCCGGCCCGGCGCGGCGGACGGTTGGAAGGCGCCCGGCGTCGGGCTCTTTGAGAAGCGCCGCCTGTGCCTCGGGGCTGTTGCCCGCTGACAGCCCGGAAGTGGAGCGGGCGCTCGCGAGCGCGCGGCCCGAGGCTGACCGGGCCTCCCGCGCGCTCCCTCCTCGCCCTCCCCCGCCCCCCCAATCCAGCCCGTCGCGCGCATGCGCCCACGCCGCTTCGGCGCCGGTCCGCGTTTCCCGCGCAGTCGTGCTGAGGACTTTGGCCAGTCGGGGTGCGGCAGCGGCGCGCCGGGCTAGAGGCTTGTGGTGCAGCGGCATGAGCTAGGGGCCCGGGCCCCTGCGTGGGATGCTAGAAAGCCCCCTCAGCCGAGTCTCTAGTCACCCCCCCCCAACCCCCGAGCGACTCCAGGCGCGGTTTCTCGCCGTGTGTGTGTGTTTGTGTATATGTGTGTGTGTATGTGTGGAGAAGACGTGCATTTAAGCAGTGAGGAAACATTCTGGGTAGCTCCGAGGCGGTTTTCCCTGCGCGGGAGACTTAAAAATGTGTTAGTCCAGACCCTTTTGAGCCCAGACAGCGATCGGAGGCGGCGAGTCACGCGTTTCAGAGAAACCTCCGACGCGTCGGCGAGCGCCGAGTAACGGTCCAAGGTCAGAGAGAGATGCTGGCGCCGGAGGTTGGGAGGGGGGGCGGGCTGCAGGGTTTCCGGGGCCGGGGGCGCCAGGTTCGGCCGGTGTCCGGGGAGTCTCGACTCCTGTGAGTCCGCACCTTCATCCTCTCTCTAGCCCTTGATTCAAACTCGAGATGTAGATTTCTTGAAAGGTGCATCATTGGTTTTAAACTTAACAGGGAATTTTGTGTTTAGTAAACGGTTGTGGGATTTTGTTGTTTTGTGTTTGGGGACACACCCGGCAGTGCTCACGGCTGTCTAAAGGGATCGGACACCCCCACCGACCCCCCCCACCCCCACCCCCACCGAGGTAGGGTCCCTCCACCCTTCTCTGCCCAGATCATAGTCTAGTGGCTGTATCCCGGGATGCTTTTCCTAGAGGGAGGGGCATAGGGTGGGGTGAGTGTCTAATCCCATGCACGGTTTAACTTTAGTAAAAATATTTGGGCGGAGGGGAGGGTGGTGAATTATTTTGTTGCTCCCTGGCATCACACAATTTAGGCTCCATCTCTGATATGACTGTGTCCCAGCTGTGTGACCTTCTCAAGTGTGTCAAGTTCACTATAGAGTGCTGAAGATAAACTCAAATAGTGAATATAAGACAACGCAAATGTCTGATGTATAGTTGACAGACAAGGATGGCTCTTATCGACAGTTTTATTGGCCATTGATTCATAGGGTTCAAAAACAGACTACATGCCTCATTGGAAATAAAGCTATACTAGTGCAATACCCTCAATCCCAGTTTTTAAAAAAATGCATCATCAATTCACACCCAGTTTTGTTTAGGGCTAACTCCAGGCTTTACAACCCAGGGATCACTTCCAGGGATCACTTCTGGAGGAACTAAATGTGGTGCCAGGAATCAAACCCGGTTGGCTGCATGCAAGGCCAGTGCCCTACCTACTGTATCTATTGCTGAGTCCCGTTAACTGGAATAGTTTAAGGGAATTTCAGAGATGTTACAAGAAGCTACTAAGGGAATTTCAGAGATGTTACAAGAAGCTACTATATACTCACTGTTGCAATTTCACTCTCTTTAAGATATGTTACATTACATTCACCACCAAAATACTAGGTCCTCTCCACCATACTCCTTTGGACCTTCTCACACCTCAATGCCCAGTTCTTCTCACCCCTCTCTAAACCTTAGTTCTGCTGAGTACAAGATTTTGTTTTTTCTTGCCTTCCATCTTGTTGCTGCTTCATATCCCACAGTGAGATCATCTAGTATTTTTTATTTCTCCTTTTGACTTACTTTCCTTAATTGACCTTAATTTTCATCTCATAGGAAAGTAGTATTTTCTTGCATATATACCACATCTACATCCACTCAGCTATCTTTGGATCCTGAGTTGTTTCCATATAATGACTATTGTAAATAGCACAGCAGAGAGCATAGATGCTCTTCAAATTAATGTTTTAATGCTCTTCCCATGTTAAGTACCAAAGAGTTTAATGTGTGTTAGTCCTATATTTAATATTTTTAGAAACTTTCATACTGTTTTCTACAGATGCTCGACTAAGTTGCTTTTCACTTACAGTGTATGAATGCCCCTTTTTTTCTCCATAATTCATTCCCAGCTCCATTTGCTGTTTCTGACCATTTTTTGATGTAAGGTGTGTGTGTGTGTGTGTGTGTGTGTGTGTGTGTGTGTGTGTGTGTGCGCGCGCGCGCGCACTCGCACGCGCACATGCGGGCCTGTGTGTCACCGCACATGTGAGGGAGCAATGGGGCCAAGTGTTGCGCCACATCATGGTGATGTTTAGTGCTTACTCCTGGCTCTCTGCTCAGGGTCAGTCCTAGCAGTAGTGAGGGGACTATATGCAGTGCCAGTGATCTAACCCAAGTTTGCTGCTTGCAAGAAAGCACCTTACCTGCTGTTCAGCCTGATAATAGGCCATTCTAGTGGAGATAGGTGAAAACTTGTTGTTGATTTGCATTTTCCTGATAGTAAGAGATAATGGTCATTTTTTTTAATGTGCTTTTTAGCCATCTTTATGTCTTTGGGAAGATGCTGATCCAGTTCTTCCTGTGTTTTGATGGGGTTGTTTATTTGTTAAGTTTTAATAGAAGTCTAATGAAAGTAATTTTATTAGTTACTGATTGTAGCCGAAGAAGGAAAACTTATACTGGTAGGGCTTAAAGTCATCCTAAATTCATATTACATAAATATAAATGCAAAACTTATTTTTATTTTGCACTCTGTCATTTCAGGTATTTCAACTGTTCAGAGACAACTTCATATATATAATGTACCCAGAAATGACCAGAAAACATTAGGGAAAGAAAGTGGAATATATTAAGCAAGATGAACTTTTCAGGAAGCAGTTGTGGAAGCCCTCCTTCTGCAGCTGTATCTAATGACTTTAGGGAACTGTGGACAAAATTAAAGGAGTACCATGATAAAGAAGTACAAGGTAAAATGTTACTCAAAAACTTACATAAATGATATTTTAATACTAAGATGTTAATATATTACTTTGTATGACAGTAATAACTCACTTTGTATGACAGCAAATCTCATTTTTTAAGAAATGTTTGCTATTGTAGTTTTATCTGATTTATTTTTATGATTAAGTGTTCTTTTGCTGAAGACAGCGGGATGTGGTACTTGTGCAATTTGTGTTGATATGTATGGTGTGTTGGGAAGAGCCAAGAAATTGTTGGCTGAAGACCTGAATTTGAATTCTGATTTAATGGACCTATATGTTCTGTGATTTCAGCTAAGTTATATAGGCTCTAAACTAAAATTTCATACTTTATATTATTCACAGGATTATTTATAAAAGTTAAAAAATGACTCAACTCATTCTGCCAGTGTTAGCATGCCTCAGATTCCTTATAAAGCATTTGAAAGGATACCTGGCAGATAATAATACCAGCATTAGCTGTTCTGTCTTTGTAAAGCAGCAGTTATATATATTTATCAGTGTCATAAGGACTAATGGAGATAAGTGAAGCTATGTGAGACCTTAATATCAAATCAGGCTCTCACAGGTGACCTTAGTTGATGCTAGTGGAGAGTTAGAATTGCTGAGCCAAAACCTATCAAAATTTCAGAATATCATGATATATGATAAAATAGTATTTTAGACTAGTGTTTATAAAAATAGATAACAAAACAGGTATATAAACATCCATACTACACAAATCCTAGTTCATAAATAATGACTGAAATTAAAGTTGATTTTTTTGTTTTTATTTTTGAGCCACACCCAGCTGTGCTCAGGGCTTGCTTTTGGCTTTGTGCTCAGGGATCATTCCTGGTGGGGTCAGGATGACTATGGTGTGCTGGGGATTAAATCCTAGGTTGGCCACATGTAAGCCAAATATCCTACCTCCTGTACTATTGCTTTGGCCCTGTATCATTATCTTTTTAACTTTTATCTTCATGTCATAGTATTGTTTCATATATATAAATCTTACTTTTTTCTTAATTATATATCTATGCATTTTACTTTTGCTGCTGTTTGTTACATTTTAAAAATACCACTAATATTATTTTATACTTCCAGTGTTACTACACCATGTCCATCACCAGAATGCCAGGATCCCTCCATCATTATCTCAAGGTCCTCCTTCCAACCCCTGCTTTAGCTTCCTCAGATGACAGATCTCTTGGCCACAGTGCAGCGTTTGTTTCCATTAGGCATTGTCTTAATCAAATGAGACAAACGTATTTGTTTTTTTCTTTCTGACCCACTTTGCTTAGCACCCTTCACTTTCATCCAAGTTGCAACAAAATTTAAAATTTTTGCTTTTTCTTTGGCTGGCATGATAGTACAGTGGGAAGTGAAAAGTTATCCCTCTGTCCCATACATTCAGTAGGTAACTTCTTTTTTACCTTTTCTGTGTTTGCTCTGTTTATTCCTGTGTTCTTTTCTAAATTTAAGATTTTGTGTTTTGGAGGGTATTATTCATTAGCTATTATCAATACACAACCAGTCTTATATTTCACATATTCATCTATCCTTTCACTTGGCCTTTTAGTTACCTCTGACATGTGATGTCATTTTTTATACCTCAGGTATTTTTTTTTTCCAGTATTCCTTTTAGCAAGAAATGCCTTTATCACACTAACACAGCGTATTCTTTAATAGCATTTAATAATACCTTCCCAGAAACTGGAAGAAACCTGAATGCCCAAGAACAGATGACTGGTTAAAGAAACTTTGGTACATCTACACAATGGAGTACTATGTAGCTGTTAGAAAAGATGAAGTCATGAAATTTACATACAAGTGGTACAATATGGAAAGTATCATGCTAAGCGAAATGAGTCAGAAAGAGAGGGATAGACATAGAAAGATTGCATTCATCTGGGGGATATAAAGTAACAAAGTATGAGATTAATACCCAAGAATAGCTGAGATCAGCACCAGGAGGATCACTCCATAACTTAGAGGCCAGCCGGGTATCCTAGAGGAAAGGGCAGTTCAGATAGAGAAGGGAGCACCAAATAAAGGATGTTTGGAGGATCCTCCCAGGAGGGGAGATGCATGTCGAAAGTAGACTATGGACTGAACATGTTTGCCACTCAATGCCTCTTTTGCAGACCACAACACCCAAAAGGAGAGAGAGAACACAGGGGATTGCCCTGCCACAGAGACAGGGGGGATGGGGGGATGAGGGTGGGAGGGATATTATCCATGGTGGTGGAAAATGGGCACTGGTGGAGGGATGGGTATCTGATCATTGTATAATTGAAACCAAAGCACAAAAAATTGTAAATCTAAAAAAAAAAATAAAATACCTTCTAGGTGTTAACGTTCAAATCTCCCCAATTATCTAAGACATCTTTTTATAATTGATTCGTTCAAAAACACATCTCCACATCACATTTGATAGCAGGCTTATTAATAGCTTTCAGAATAGTTTTAATTAGTATTTCTCTTATTGAAGGGAATAAACCTTTGCTTATGTTGAAGGGTGAGTTATATTTCTTTTGTCAATTGTTTACTGATTTTTGAATGGATCTTTCTCTTTTTAATTTCTAGGAGTCACTTGGAATTAAAATAGTAGCTGAAGGGCTGGAGCAATAGTACAGTGGATAGGGCGTTTGCCTTGCATGCGGCCAACCCGGGTTTGATTGCCAGCATTCCATATGGTTCCCTGAGCACCACCAGGAGTAATTCCTGAGTGCAAAGCCAGGAATAACCCCTGTGCGTCACCGGGTGTGACCCAAAAAAGCAAAAAACAAAACAACAACAAAAAAGTAGTTGAGCTGAAATATTTTTGAAATTAGAAATTCAGGTCCAGAGAGTTAGCTCAATAGGTCAAGCATATATTTTGCAAGCAGGAAGCCCACCTTTTTGACCCTTAGTACTATATCATACCCGAGCACTGCTTCAAGCAACCCCTGAGCATCAGCAGTGAAACCTCCCCCCAAAACCAAAGGATTTAGGAACTCAGTTTTGCTATTCTGATTTTGTTTTGGTTGGGGGAAGGGTGGCTTATATTTTCTGTGAGTATTTGGGCTGCATCTGGAAGTATTCAGGTTCTTCTCCCAACTTGATATCCAGGGGTCAACCCTAGTAATGTTCAGGGAACTATACCATGCTTGGGATCAAACTTGTGACCCCTGCATTGCAAATCTCGTACCCTAACCTGTTGAGCTTGCTCTCTGACCCTGTTTTAATTTTAAAGTAAGCAGTGATTATGGTTAATGTCTGGGACAGCTATGAGTATTTCATATTAATGTTCATATGAAACAGTACTGTTTTCCATCAGAGTGTTTAGTATAAATGATTGAGGAAGGATTTTGAGTTTTAGTGTTGACTTACCGTACTAGGAAGCATAGTAGTTGGCTAAGGATTCCATTTTTATGGTGGACAAGTCACTGTCACTGTCACCCTGTTGTTCATCGATTTGCTCAAGCAGGCCCAGTAACGTCTCCATCATGAGACTTGTTGTTACTGTCTTTGGCGTATTGAATACGTCACAGGTAGCTTGCCAGGCTTTGCCGTGCGGGCGAGATACTCTCGGTAGCTTGCTGGGCCCTCTAAGAGGAGCGGAGGAATCAAACCCAGCTCAGCTGGGCCGGCTGCACACAAGGTAAATGCCCTACCACTGTGCTATTGCTTCAGCCCACTATTTATCAGATTATAGAATGTAAAGTTCAAATAACACAGAGTAGATAATTCTTGGAAATTCTGTACTCCTGGGACTAAAGTGATAATACAGCACTACCCAAGTTTGGTCCCTGACATCCCATATGGTCCCCAGAGCCCCCCGGGAGTGATTCCTTAGTGTAGAGCCAGTAATAATCCCTGAGCACTGCTGGGTGTAGCCCCAAAAATTAATTGGTTAGAAAAAAAAAATTCCTGTATTCCTCATGACTGTGCTTAACATTCTCCCAAGCGAGTTCGTCTAAAAAGCTTTAAGAGAGTGTATATCAATTGTAACGAAGTATACAGTTATATCATTGTTGGTTATATAGTTAATAAACATGTGCTTTTTGAGTTGTAAGTCACTGTCACTGACCTCCCATTGTTCATCGATTTGCTCGAGCGGGCCCAGTAACGTCTCCATCGTGACACTTGTTACTGTGTTTGGCATATTGAATACGTCACGGGTAGCTTGCGAGGCTTTGCCGTGCAGGCGAGATACTCTCAGTAGCTTGCCAGGCTCTCTGAGACGGGCAGAGGAATCAAACCTGGGTCGGCCAGGTCGGCCGTGTACAAGGCAAACGCCCTACCCTCTGTGATATCGCTCCAACCCTTGAATAGTAGGTACTGGAAATATATTGAAACTGATGATAGAAGATGATCTCTGGTACATTATAATATATTGATCACAAACTGCTTTTTCTAATTTTTACATCAATGGTTTTTAAGATATCTAATGGCTAGATACTTTTTTTTAAAATTTTATTTAGATTTTGTGCCACACCTAGTGTTTCTCAGGACTTATTCTTGGCTCTGCACTCAAGGATCACTCCTGGTGGGATTCTGGGGACCATCTGGGGTGCTGGGAATTGAACCTGGATTGTGGGCACCCTAACCCTCTGTACCATCTTTCCATACCTCCTCCCTTTCTTTGGGGAGGGGGGAGCAGGCACACCTAATGCTCAGGGCTTACTCCTCCTGGCTTTGCACTCCTGGCAAGGTCAGGGGCTCATATGTAGTGTCAAGGATCATACCTCAGTTAGCCATGTGCAAGGCAAATGCTCTACCTGCTGTACTATCTTTCTGGCCCCTGCCCACCCCTTTAAAAAAATTATAATACTTTTTTAAAAAATTAGTATGTTATTATAAAACATTTTGGTCGATACTAAGCAAGCATTTTTGAGTATTGTCAATATGTTCCATGTAGCTTTATATGAAATTAGATCCTCTGACTGTGTGATAACATCAAAGACGTGCCTGAAAGGTACTTAACCCCTTTTTAAGATGGGGAATCCTCTTGGGGAAACCAG